TGAATGAAATTCTTGCTTCCAATTAAAAAATTGCATTCATGGATCCCATACATTAAGAATCATGTTTGCATAGTGTATTTATGTACTCATAAATAATTATCAAGGGAACTGGCATAATTCAAAATCAGTACCATTCTGAAAATTACACAGTTCCTTCTGGGAACTACAAATCAAGATAGAGTTAGATGAAGATACAAGATTTCATTAAATAGAAGTACTTTACCAGCAATTAGGCACACGCCCAGGTGGTTTGGCCAATATTTGGCCAAGAGATATTGAATGGTGATGTGGGCAGGGGTTTCCGAGGAATATAAGTAACCTCTGGGTTTTTTCAGATTTAGCCAGCATCTATAACTAATGAATTACAACTCTGTTGTACTGCAATCAGTGCATTGCTCTTTGCAAACACAAAGCGAAACCACTAATATATGCATTCTAGATAGTTTTCCTACTCAAACCATACCAAACTAGGCCTTCGTCATCACCAGTTAAAAGGGCCTTTACACCATTTAGCAAACAGCATCATATAAGCTAAGGCTTCAAATTATCATCCGGGTTCTATTCGAACCAGTCGATATCAATTTAGTCCAAGATTCCTCCACTTCCAGATTCCTTCATCAGCCACGAATTACATTTCAGGCTCAGTAAAAACCGTATAGATGCAAACAGAATATGTTTTGCTTGTTCAAATTATATTAATCAACAAATTTTACTTTTACCAATGCAATTAAATGTGATCACAGAAAATCCGTAATTTTTACATGAAAGATTTCCAACATTAAGCAACTAAAGAGATAAAATCCAAATAAAACCAAACTACAGCTTGAAATTAAAATACTAATATGTCATTGACTCCATAAACCTAGTACAAGTCAACACTAGATAAGATAAGAAAAAAAAACATTTATAATAAATTGACTCGTGTGAAGTCAATACTAAATATATAGAGTTAATCTTTACCTATTCTTCTTAGTTATCTTTTTCTTCACTTTGTCTTTTCCATTTGTCTTGACCCCATCGACTTCCCTCGGGGCTGGGCCACAAGGAGAAATAAGGCTTTCTACACAAACCTCGGGAAAAAACACAAAAGGCAACCCCCTAACAGAGACATTCTTGATAGTTTTTGTTCTCAAATTATACCAGACAAGCCTTTTGTCATCATAAGTCAAGAGGACATTTTCTCCATTTTTCGAATATGCCAATGGCTTCAAATAAGCAAAAGGCTGCAAAATGTCATCAGGGTCAATTGTCGAAGAACCAATTGATATCAATTTAGTCCAAGATTCCTCAACTCCATAGTCCTTCATCACCCATAAATTAGCACGAGACTTGCTAGTACAAACTAAACAAAGACACCCTCCTAGCACATCCAACTTCATTTTGACATTCTTGATCCCAAAATTCGGTGGCAGCATCACCTCATAATGGTTCTCCCTCTCAACACTAAAACCCATAATTCTAATTGGTTTTTCCGAATATACGTGGAAATAATCCTCCACAAGCGTATGCAGCGCCCCATGGACATGTACTCCCCAGTTTCCCTTCAAAAAGGGTAGCGGATAAGGAAAACCCTTGATCCTGTTCCAGGAATTCGATTTCATGCTATAAATCTCAACCTCAGAGCATTCCCACAAATGACTCGTTTTGTTCCTAAATTCAACAACCCGAACAACTTTATAATCATCCTTTCTCGAATCGTAAGCGAGCCCATAAATAACCTTCGAAAAACACAACAGAGGAGTTGGATACTCGATGGGGTTGTCAGGTAAAATCCGGTATTTAGTGGAAAAGGGGTTCCACAATACAGGAGGTTCACTCATCACGAGAATTAACCCATTGCAAGAGTTGGATATGCCATCAACACTCTTGTAATAAAATGGGGGTTTCACGACATGGGCTTTGTCAAGTGAATTCAAATCTACGGAATAAAGTCCCAGGCCTTCAAGAATGAGTCTTTGATTTGAATTTGTTGTCGTAGATCGATGCAAGTGCATTTTGACGAAATCTTGGCCGTCTATAATAGAACACCATAATCTAGATACACACCTGAATCGCAAAACGGATTTCACTGGTAAGCGCGAGATTATATCTGTAACGATTTCTGAAGGTATCATCATTTTTCTTCCTTGATTGTTAGGGATTTGAGGTGCAGATTGTCAATGAAATCAAACAATGAAAACTGAGAAGGATTTGTTGATGATGGGCCGATGATGTCCGGCCTGGGAAATTTTTTCACTCCTGGCCCTGGTAGGGTAGGGTAGCGTAGGGTTTACGACAATTTTTTCAATATAAGATTATAAATGCGTGGCGGTTTAGAGGTTCATCAGATAGAAGTGTCTGCAAGTGATGGTGACACGTACGTTGTTACCAACTCATTCCTTTAATGGTTTGTTGAAGAGTTGGTGCACTCACATTGGCTGATTAGAGGTTCATGAGATAGAAGTGTCTGCAAGTGATGGTGACACGTAGCAACAATGGTTGAGTATGGAAATGAGTAATGATACTTGCAGTCGCTCACTGCAGCAGTCGTCCTATGTGGCACATACATGACATGTAATTATTTGATGCATTAATGTGGTAGTTTTTTGCCACATTTAATGCATCAAATACACACTGACATATGTGTGCCACATAAAACGACTGTTTCAGTGAGCGACTGCAAGTAGTATTATTTTATAAGAATTGGTTTGTTGAAGAGTTGGTGCACTCACATTGGCTGAACATTTACCTGTCACGCAACGTCACACTAAGTAGCCAATGTTGGTGATTAAAAAATTGACTTATTTTTCCTTTTAAATATTTTTTAATAGGTTTATTGACACAAAACGTTCCTACGTTTGACAGTTTTTGTGCAAAATGTCCATACGTGTCTTTTTTTTTTTTGCATTTTCGCCCTTATTTCAACGTTTTATTGCGAAAAAACGTCTTTTTCAATGAAAAATAACCAATATACCATCGTATTTAAATAAAACAAAATAAATAAAAAATAAAAATAAATTGCAATTATACTCCCAAAATTTTTAAAAAGTGCAAATGAGTCCAAAAACCTTATTAAAAGGCTTAAACACAAAACGTCCCTACGTTTGACACTTATTGCGAAAAACGTCCTTGCGTTTCAAATTTTTTTTACTTAGCTCAATAGCACAAAACGTCCTTACGTTTGACATTTATTGCGTAAAACGTTCTTACGTTTTATTTTTTTGCATTTTCGTCCTTATTTCAACGTTTCATTTCGGAAAATGTCATTTTCACTATTTTGCAATGTAAAATAACCAATATACCCTCATATTTAAATAAAATAAAAATAAAAAATAAAAAATTGCAATTATACTCCCAAACTTTTTAAAAAGTACAAATGAGTCCAAAAGCCTTACTAAAACATTAAAAATGAAAAAAAAAATTCTCTTTCCCACGTCTCCTCCTCCTCCTTCCACCACCTAAACCACTGGACCCCACCACCATTCAAACTATCTCACCTCCCTCTACAACCTTCGGTAATTGTCTGGTCGGAAACCAGTTCTACCAGCACCACCGTTAATGCTGGTCACAACCATCAGCCCCAGCATTCTAGATGGAGGTGAGATGGTTTGAATGGTGGTGGGGTATGGTGGTTTAGGTAGTGGAGGGATGATAAGGCCGAGGAAGGAGGAGAATGCTCATGGTTTGAATGTTTTAATAAGGTTTCACTAGACCCCACCACCATTCAAACTATCTCACCTCCCTCTACAACCTTCGGTCAATGTCTGGTCGGGAACCAGCTCTTCCAGCACCACCGTTAATGCTGGTCACAACCATCAGCCCCAGCATTGTAGAGGGAGGTGAGATGGTTTGAATGGTGGTGGGGTCTGGTGGTTTAGGTAGTGGAGGGATGATAAGGCTAAGGAAGGAGGAGAAGGCTCATGGTTTGAATGTTTTAATAAAGTTTTTGAACTCCTTTACACTTTTTAAAAAGTTTGGGAGTATAATTATAATTTATTTTTTTATTTTTATTTTTGTTATTTAAATATGAGGGTACATTGGTCGTTTTACATTGAAAAATAGTGAAAATGACATTTTCCGCAATGAAACGTTGAAATAAGGACAAAAATGCAAAAGAAATGAAACGTAAGGAAGTTTTACTCAATAAGTATCAAACGTATGAACGTTTTGTGCTATTGAGTCAAATACAAAAAGTTTGAAATGTAAGAACATTTTTCGCAATAAATGTCAAACGTACGGATGTTTTGTGCTTAAACCTTTTAATAAGGGTTTTGGACTCATTTGCACTTTTTAAAAAATTTGGGAGTATAATTGCAATTTAATTTTTTTTATTTTATTTAAATATGAGGGTATATTAGTCATTTTATATTGAAAAACAGTGAAAATGACGTTTTCTGCAATAAAACGTTGAAATAAGGGCGAAAATGCAAAAAAATGAAATGTAAGGACGTTTTGCACAATAACTGTCAAATGTAGGGACATTTTGTGCCAATAAACCTTTTTTAATACTTAGATCCCAAACATGCTTTTAATATTTGTGGCTAAAAAGTTGCTAAAAATATAAATTAAAACAATAATTAATTTTCATAGTATATTTTATAAAATATTTTTTAATCACATATTTTAATAATTTTTATCAAAATCTATAAAAAATTTACATTTTATTTACACCAAACATGGGAACACATTCAATCAATCTCAATAAAATTATAAAATAATCAAACGTTTATCAAAATTTTAGTTAATACACTTTTTAATTAGGTTAATTCACACATAACATTCTCATCTTTCACTATTACTATTGAAAACGTCACTATCTTTCTTTCTTTTTTTCATTTTCGCCTTTATTTCCACATTTCATTGGGCAAAATGTCATTTTCATCCATTTTCTCAATTAAAAATTGTAAAATAACGAATATATCATTCTCTTTAAATAAAACAAAAGGAAAAAAAATTAATTGTAACCATAATCCCAAATTTTTTAAAAAGTTCAAATGAGTCTCAAATACATTTTTAAAAGGATAATTAGCATATAAGTCCTTACATTTCATTATTATAGCATAAAACTTTCATAATTTTTTTACGTTTTAACTTTTAATTACACATTTAATTGAACAAATCATCATTTATATCAATTTTCATCAAAATTTCTCAATAAAAAGTTGAGAAATGATGAATATACCCTCATATTTAAATAAAAAATTATTTTTTTATTTTCAATTTTTTAATAATTTATTTGGGATTCGTTTACATTTTTTCATTTTTAAATAAATTTAATTGGGACTCGTTTGCATTTTATTTTTTTAAAAAAATACTTTTTAGTTTTTTAATAATTTATTTTGGGACTTGTTTGCACTTTCTTAAGAAAAATAATTTTTAATTTTTTAATAATTTATTTAGGGCTTATTTGCACTTTTTTTTAAAAAAAATAAATAAATTTCTAATTTTTTTAATAATTTATTTGGGATACGTCTTCACTTTGTAAAAAAATTTGAAACTATGGTTGTAATAAATTCTTTAGCTTTTTATTAAAATAGAATGGTATATTCGTCATTTCACTGCTCTTTATTGGAAAATTAAATGAAAATTGATAGAAATTAGGGTTTGCACAATTAAAAGTGTAATTAAGGGTGAAAATATCAAAAAATGAAATGTAATGACTTTTTTGCAATAATATTGAAAGGCAGAGACATTATGTGCTCATTACCATTTTAATATTTATTTGGGACTCATTTGTCTTTTTTTAAAACTTGGGACTATGGTTGCAAATTATGTTTTTCTTTTTCTTTTATTTAAAGAGAATGATATATTCGTCATTTCACAATTTTTAATTGAAAAAATGGATGAAAATGACTTTTTGCACAATGAAAGGTGCAAATAAGGGTGAAAATACAAAAAAATGAAAGGACAAAAGTTCTCCATAATAATAATAAAATATGATAATTTTGTTTGTTAATTACCTTTTTAATTACACCAAACAGGGGATATATACAATCGATCTCAATAGGATTATAAAATAATCAAACTTTGATGACAAATTTCGACGACAACAAAAATGAAAAAAAAATGAAAAAGTACTGGATCTTGATTTTTGAATGACGAGAAATGAATTAATAAAAAAATTAAAGTTAGATGTGTGGGGATTGATTCTTTTCTCTGCACGGAACTTCTGCAAGTGGACCAAAAATAATTATTTCAGGTTTCTTTCAATGTTTTCCCCACACTTCTTTTGCTTTATCTCATTTTGAGTAATTGGCACGATACCTCCATGACCTTTATTGGTTTTATAGAATATTCTTATCCTTTTATTTCGGCACAAAACCTAGTTGGATAGTCCAAACGTTGCAAGTACGCTTATCATCTAATTCGTTTAGTTTAGGGCGTGTTCGGTAGAGATTAAAATCGGATTAAAATTGAAAAATTAGCCGTTGTTGTTGACTTTTATTAGACGAGTGTGACCCAATAACGACTATATTTTCAATTTTAATTGGATTTTAAGTTAGATCGAACACGCCATAAGTGTTTAGTAAATAGGGCAAAAATTAAAATATTGATCAAACGTTTGTGTGGGAATTAATCCAGAAATTGTTAAAGTTTGAGAAAATCAACCCTGAAAATGTTAAAACTTCGCGTAATACAAACCAGAAAATCCGACATCCTCTATACAAACCATTAATCAGGATAGAATACATGATATGAAGTGGGGAACGATGCCCTGAAAAACTACAAGTCGAAAGCTCTAGTTCAGTGCCAGTGAATCTGGCACAGATTTCCAATAAAATTTTAATTGCGCCGTTGATTCTTCCATTCTTGCAAAGCCCGTCAAACAAAAAACTAACTATATACACATTAGGAGTGACACTAACCTTTATCATTTCCTTGTGCAATTGAAGAGCTGCACTTAAGTTACCATTCTTGAAGGGCCCATCGATCAAAGAAGTATAAAACAACATCAAGCTTGTAACCTTTAATTGCATTCATTAAAGCATCTCCAATGATGATGTAAATAAATTTAAATGATGATTTAGATCTCTAAAATAGTCGAAAACCTCACCAATGGAGATATGCAAAGGAAATACATTTTGTATTTTCTAGCAAAATATGTGAAGAAGAAGAAGATATAGGGCGTGTTTGAGCC